AAACCTTTCCCCTCATTTGACTCATTTCCTTTTTCTTTTATTTTTTTAAAAAAAAGAAAACATTGCAAGTATTCTATATTTTTCACCTTTTGCCTAAAAAAAGTGTAAAAATAAGAAGAAGAAAAAAACAATTCAAAATGGATGGTCCCACACAAAGAAACAGATCCACATACAACTTTTTCTTTGTTCACAGTTCACACCATGAACAATGAAAAGCTGGAAATTCAAATACAAAAAAGCATTCAAAAGTTGTTCAAGTAGCTCCAATTATTAACAAATCAAATCAGATAACAGTCAATATTAGTAATAGTAAGAAGAAAATAACACAATTTCAAATCCAGATCTGGAGAAAAACTCAGAAATGTTAATAACTTTCCATTTAATATCAACAAATTTACTCCATTTGTGCAAACAGAGACTGAAAGCCAAAATCAAAACAGATAGTATAGTGCCAACAGTATGTTTAAATTGAATTATTGACAGACAAATTCAGTTTACTATAAGCTGTAGTATATAGAAACACAAGAGAAAAAAAATGAAAAAATAATTTTTTTAAAAAAAGAGTTTATGACAACAATCAATACCCATTAAGAGCATTTCCTCATTCGTATACCAAACAAGCCCCATCTCCAAAAGAAAAAAAAATAAAATTAAAAATTCAATATACCAAGAGAAATACAATTTTTTTTTATGGATCCTGTGGAAGAAGAAGAGAAAATAGAGAACCTAGCTCCTGCAACGAGTAATAGCACTGCATCCACGAGTGTAGGGATTTGCTTGAGCTCCAGGTTTGCAGTTGTAGTAGGAAGCTCCACGGCGAGAACACGGCACACTGTTCTTCTGGAGTGCACCATAGCTGATGTACTTTTTGGTTGCTAAAATACGCCTGTTTGACTCACTGTCAAGGGCAAACTCATCTTCTTCAGCCATGCACTCTGCAATACTCCCCTTGCATTCACCGGATCTCGCCGGCACCATCCAATCGTAGCTACCACTGTCGCCGGCGGCAGCCATGGAAATGAAAAAAGCTCCAACAAGAACACAAACAATCAAATACGAAGAAACTCCCATTTTTTTTTCCTTGAATTGAAAAAAAAATGAAAGAGAAATTAAAGCAACCTTTAGCTAATTCTTCTGGTTTATGATTCGGACGGCTAGTTTTGCCGTATTTTCGATGTTGAAAATTTGTTAGTTTCTGCAAATTGTGAAGAAGACAAGTTATAATGGGCAAGGCCAGTTGTATTATAAGTAGAGGTGGTTGTTTATTTACCCCTAATACTTTACTTTATTTCCAAATTGCCACGAAGGATTAGAAGACTTTGATACTTTGGTTTATTGGATGCCCACTAACTTTTAATTTCAACGCGCAATATTTAGAAGAAGAATATTTTTTAAAAAAATTTAGAAGCCAGCGTTATATATACATATACATAAATAATTGGTAATGTATCTATCAAATATTTTGAGAAAATTTATCACGTATTGAGTTTGACAATTTCCACTTAAAAAATATATATTTACAAAATATATAATTGTGATGTTTTTCATATGGACCAAAAAGGATTAACTTGTTGGATCAATTTCGTATAAATACAAGTTGTTTTAATTTTTAAAAAATATATTCTTAAAAAAATTGATATTTACCAAACTACCTAATAATACAAATAAAAACTAGTAATATAATTTATGATGGACGCTTCATAAAGCTTCTCGATATGTCTTAGAATTTATTTTTTATAATTTAATTTAATAAATAACTTAATTAAAGATTACAACAAGCGTGTTTTAAATAATTTATCTATTTGAATAATACTAATCATGAAGTAATTTTTTATATAATTTTTTTTTTGTTTGTAATTGAGCGCCCAAAAAAGCAATATTTTGTAATACTAACAAAAGTAATTTTGAAATAGCTTATAAAAACACAAAATGTTATTATTTAAAATATTTGTTAATATTTTCTTTGACAAAAATGCTTTTCAAATATATAGTGAGACTATGAGGAAACTATGTGTTAGAGAAAACTCAAATCAAGGGATGATTTGACATTGTTCAATAATTTACTAGTTAGAACAAAAATACTTTTGTCTAATGTGTGGTTTCTTATGTCACCAAAAAGATTAGAATGATAATTGGTCTTTGTTAATGTGCTTACCACTACTTAGTATGTAATTCTATTTAGTTGCTCATAGTCAATATGCACACTTATTTAATCATCAATTTGATAACTTTGAAATTTTCTTTCATCAACCACTTGAAATTCTCTTGCTAAAATAATCTTACAGTATAAAAATACTTTTCACTATAGTTTTACTTCTAAAATTCTTAAATTTAGGAATAACAATTTTGTTTATAAAACGTCTTTACTAGAGAAAATGTAAATAAAAGACACCTTATTTAAACAATTAATAAGATAATATTTTTTCTTAATACTTACTAGTTATTGTTTTTATATATTAAATATTCAATAATATTCTTTTTTTTGCACAAGCTTTCAGCTTAGTGGAACTATAAGACATAAATTTATATATTTAATTACAATTAATTTAAACAGAGACACAATTACTAAATTGATCATTCTTATAATTGAAGCAAAGCATAAATGAAACATCAAGAAAACTTAAGAATATGCAATTATTTATTACGAAAAATAACCATGAGTAGGAGCAATATATATGATCATTCCTTAACAAGAACAAACAAAAATGATTGAAAATGATATAAAGTTGGTCGTAATTAATATTATTATGATAACAATATCTTTAGGAAAAAGAAAGGATAAGAAAAAAAGATTAAAAGGCAGTATGAATTTTTGATAAGGTTAGGTAGGGGCAAGTATCGTAATAAGTAGGAAATAAGATGTCCAAATTGGGTAGAAAACGAAAAGATATTTGGTTGACTGAGTTGTCAATCGTTCACGTAGTAGAAAGAAAAGAATACTAAGGCCGCTTCGCTTCATTTCAAAATAATTGTTACATTTTTTATTATCGAATTTAATTCACATAAATTTTAATTAAAACATTGATCTATATACATTTTTGTTAAATTTATATTAGAAAACATATTTAAAGTATATAAAAAGGGAGAGGCTAATTTATTTATTCAAAATTAAAAAGGAATTTATTTAAATAAAAAAGAACAAAGACGGCAGAGTTAGTAATTCCGTCTAATAATTTTGTCAACCGAAACACGTTTTTGCTCTCTTCTTTAGTAGCTGCCTTTTGTGTCCAGCTCATTTCCGTCACCGTTACAGATTCGCCGTTATCAATCATTGTGTTTCTGCTCAGTTTTTTATTTTATATATTATTATTATTATTATTATAAACAAATAAAAGGTATGTCAGTAATTAATTAGTTACACTAATTTGACTTACTTTGATTAACCACAACAATTAAATATCTCTTCTAGATCTGGTTTTGCTAATGAATAAAACTTCCCTGCAATGCTATTGTATTTTACGGCACACTCCTTTGTTGGTTATTTCAATTTATTATATTCATAATCATATAATTTTTAAAATCGATTGAATATAACACACACTTAAATATATGATATAAGATTGAAAGTAGACATGCATAGTATATCGAAATAATTATTAGGTTCATGTTTTATTTACTTGATTAGTCTAATAGGTTACCTTGTAGTTTGGATGTGTAAAAATGAGAAAATATTTACGTGTATATATACTATATATTCTAGAAAATAGTAGTATAAAAACAAACATACAATAGTCAAGTTTTTAGACAGAAAAGAGACAAAGATAACATTTTCAAATAAGGCAACGGTAAAGAAGTCAGTCTCGAAATGATCACTAAGAAAGTTTGGGGAAAAAAGGGATAATTATAGGAGTATTTTATTAAATTAAAACTTTATTACTAATATTTTTAAATTTTAAATTTGACAAATAGTAGAATAATATATTCATTGGAATTTCACAAATAAAAATCTGAAAGAGACTATAATTTATTCAGATTTTATTATGATATTATAAAAATAAAAAAATTATTTTTAAAAAACTATCGCTTTGTGATAATAAATTCAAATATAAAGAATAATACACTATAATAATTAACAAGAGAAGCAACAAAAATAAAATAAAATAACAAAAACATAAAAAAAATCTGATAATTAAAACACAATAGAGGAGGAAAATATTGAAGGGAAGAGTAACGGCGTTAAATTGAGTTTGAAAAGTGTGGTTGAGTATCCGTTATATTAGTGTGTGTGTGTGTGGGGCCGTATAACAGATCACAGGATGGGTCGGTGTATGCGCGTCCCAAAACAAACACCAAAGCCAGCTGTATCCTTCCAATTAATTATATTCTCAAAAATGCACCAAACTTAATTATTTTCATCATAAAACTAATTAATACATTCTACACTATTATTTTGGTTGAACTATTTCCTAAAACAATATAGTAACATAACAAATGAAATTTAAGTAGTACTTTTATGTGTTTGATATTAGTGTAAAAAAAGTTTGTATTAGTAACACTATTTTTTATACTTGTAAATTTTTAAGAGATGTGTAAAGAAAAAAGTGAACAACTAATATGAGACGAGCTGTCTCAGCTTAAGCTTTAACTAATGGTAAAGTAGAACTTATTAGCTGACTTTTTGGCATCCAATAAGTTATTTGTAATATTGTACTGATTTTATCTGATTTGTAGATGCCTAAAGGACACCAAATTCTCTTTACCAAACGCTATAATATAGGCTAAATGGACTTTTAATTGAGAGTAGTTGTATATAATTTTTAATAAGAGTTGAATGACATCCTGTCATGTAAGCATTGTCCTAGGATCATGCTAATGTGAACTGTATCACACCAAAATTAGCTCAATTCTCATTGACATATGGCATTCAATATATAAGAGGGAACCATTTAAAACACCTAAAAATTTCATGGGATGATGTTACTCAAAGAAACAACTGTTCTACAAAAAGTAAATTTCTGTTTTATAGGGATTATCTAAAGTATAAAAAAGACTGCAAGACCTGTGAAATTCTCTGTCACATCTAGTAATTTTAACAGGATACATTTATTCATTGGACAAACTGAGCTGTCTAATAAATAAACGACTAGCTGTGCGGAGAACAAGTCCGAGTCTGAGTCCAAGAAAACTAACTGATGCCGACATTGTAAGAGCTGATTCCACCCATGATGTAACTGCATTAGCTGAAGGCGACAAAACTGAGTAGCAGAAGCTCAAAATGTTGTTTCAAGCTCCACCTGATACAGAAAGTCTGGTAGGTAAAATGCCGGAGATAAAGAGGACGAAATGAAGAAGCAATATCGCTGCAAAACTCAAATGCAATTTCAGAGACACACAATGAACACATAAGCTAGAATACAAGTTCAATGTTGTGTTAGTAGCACGACTATTAGCAACCATAGATTTCCTCAGCAGGCATATTTCACCACACACAAAAAAATATACCAGAAACAGTTAAGCCATAAGCTAAACACCAAAATACAGTAGAAAAATATGCACACGTGTAAGAGCTGCAAACGAATGAACTTTATGCATCGTCCTTACAGTGACAGAACTAGATAATTTCTGACATCCAGAGACTAAGGATACCAGAGACAGTATCTATTAGCAATTTTGAAGCCCCTTTTCATGTCGCTCCATGACAGAGCTGATGTGTTTTGAAAAGAAAAAACGTTCTTTTCAGCCAATTTTATTGAACTCAGAGAATGGACAACAAAAGAATAGTCCATTCATGAAGCCACAAAATGAACCAAACAAGGTTTATACCAATCACAGAAAAATTCTGCACCGTTTTAAGTATTAACGGTATAACTAAAAACCCTCTCAAACAAGCATAGCTCAATTACGTTGGCAACTTACTGCAACAGTAAGGAAAACAAAGAAGAAAAACATGCGTCCACAAAGAAACTTAAGAAAACATACCATATCTGAGACACAGAAAGGAGGTATCACAAGTCTGGATCTTGATGCTAGATACTTTCTTTGCAACATTAGCCGACTTCAGTGCAATTTCAACTCTGGGCTAGGCAGCATAGTTCCAATGTGGAACATAAACTGCTCATCCAATTTTGATAAATAAACAGGAAAAAAAGGGAGTCTCATATTGCAACTTCCTTAGGAATAAAAAAGCACTCTTTAAGGTAATTAGTGCATACCAAATTAATTCCATTTCTTCAACCAGCTATCGGCAAAGTAGAAACTGCTGTTCGCACTTTGGAGGACATTCTCCATGTTGACCTTCTTCAAATTATGCTATGGCACTATTCTACGATTATGTTGAATTAACAAACATATGTAACATACTAAAAGAACAACAACAGGCAATTTCCATCGTTCACCTAAGAAAAATGCCACAAAAGCCATTCGTTTCATCTTTAGTGATGATGATGACTCAAAGGACAGTTGAAAAAATCATATGGACAGACCAAAAAAACTATCAGCACACCCAAATAATAAAGGCAAAAATTCTGAATCACATACAGTGTAATTGAACAAATAATAGCTTTGTTGCTCCAACTCTTCAGAAATATAGACAGGTCTGTGTCAAATCCTCCAAAAGTAGTGCATTTTTTGAGGATCTGATATGGGTACGGCAACATAAAAAAGCTGTTGAACCTACAACATCTTCATTATTGTCATCATCATCTTTGCCAATTTTTGGTGGATTAAAGGTATTGAAAATTCTTTTGCAGGTACAGTCCTGATTATAGGTTTAGCATATTGACTGCTCCTTTGAATTCCCTTTTAGGATCTTGTAGTCAAGCCTTTACATGGATAGTGCCATTCAAATGTCGGTCCAACAAGACATCCCACATCAAATGAACAAACAATAACAGGATCATATGACCCAAGAAGTTAAAACCTACCATTAAGGCTTTCTCCAATTTATACTCATCATCATCAATCATGTGATAGGTTTTAGTAAAGACAGAACTCTTCAGAAAAGGTTATGCATCAAAGTAAGAAGTGGAACATTAACCAATTTAGATCAATAATCCTGCACTACTTGATATCTTGAGGTAATTTAAAGTGTCTTCATCATGCTGTAAGATATAAATCAGAGTCATTTGCACTCAGTTAAATGATTGGTAATTTATTTTTATTTTTAAAAAACTGGTAAGATTGTATTCTTCAGCATTAAGGGCATGCTGGCCACCACCAAAATGTGTCAATTACAGATATCCTAACAAATCTACAATCTGATCTGTATCTACTACACAATTGTTTACACCAAAAGTTAGAGATACTATACAATTCCATTTGACCTTGTGTAAGGAATTGGATTTATTTTTGAAGCATCTACCATTCCTTTTCTTCCAAACTGACCACCATATACAATGATGGTATTAACCTTCACTACCTCCTTTGACTCTTGGTGCCTCCTCTCCTTACCCAGCTCTTCAACAGGTCTGATGTACATTCTGACATTGTCCTACAGATTTGAAATGCTAAGGAACAAATTCCAGAATTGAGCAGTGAAATTACAATGCAAGAAAAGGTAGCTATTAGTTTCACTTGTCATATTGCATAAAAAACACCTAGGAACCAGTTGTATCTCCTTTCTGATCTGAAGTACTTACTGTGTTAAACAAGCTCTCTTTATCACTAGCCAAGTGAAGCATTTCACTTTTTTAGGGCTATCCCCCTTCCAAAAATATTTCCAGAGGTGTTTTGGTCTCCCTGCCATCACCTGGAGATCTCTTCTGTAAGCAATGTTGACTGAGAAAGGACATCTTTGTTGTGCTTCCACAACATCCTGTCTGTGGCATTTGTGTTTATGATCACTCCATCTAGTAGCATCCCTAATAACTCAGCCAATCTTTCCACCTCCCAATCATTGAGAAGTCTTCTAAAAAATAAATCCCAACCCTGTTCAGTCCAGCAATCACCAACATTAGCATCAGGGTTTCCACAAATTTGAAAGAGATCCAGAATATTACATGATTTGGTATTTACCTCCTCTGTGAATATCTCATTAATCCTCATTGCAGTCTGCCAAAAATTGAATACACCTCTCTGCACCAAAATTGCACACAAATAACAAAGTTAAAGCCTACTAATCAATATGCATGGATGAAAGGAATATCGAATAAATAACTTAAACCATTTCAGTCTTCTCATGCTCCTCATGGGAATCGGGAGCTGTATTAACACCCACACTTCCACAACCTCATTCATGCTTTGTAAAGACATGGGCCTAACTCAAGCCCAAAAACTAGCTCATGAGGGGAGGATTGCCAAAGTCTATATAAGCAAACCACCAGTCCATTCCCCAACCAATGTGGGACTATAACCCAATCTAACATCCCCCTTCAAGTCTAGGCCTGACTGGAATGTGGACCGGGCAACCAAATCAGGAAGAACCTGCACGTGATACCATGTAAATATATGACACTTGGGCATAACTCAACCCCAAAAGCTAGCTCGTGAGTGGAGGACTGCCCAAGTCCAGATAAGCCACTCTAACAGTTGTTACATATTTGAGAAACACATCCGCAAAATCATAAAACATAGAAAGACAGCCAAACTGTGTGCCGTTTTTTCTATTTGGAGGGGGAAGAGCTAATTTCAACTCCAATAAGCAGACATTGAAAAAACAACTAAAACTTATTCTTCTTACCACTGTATTCAATGGTTCATACATGTTCTGGCATTTAGCTTCAAGTGCAGACTTATCCTCGAAACTTTGCTTCAAGCCTCATCATGTTGGTTCTATATTTAGAAAAATCATGTCAAGTTTTTGTATTCCTTTTACAAGAGGAGCAATCAATATTTACTCAAGCATGTTAATATACCAGCATTATTAAAAAACTTAATCCACATATCATATAATTGACCTGACTAGTTTGGTTCTAGGGATTGAATCATCGTTATTGTTGTTGTCATTAACACTTTTTCTGCATACAAAACTACCCTATATTCCCCAATTAAATGTCATATTTCTGCTGTAGGTTGTCACAAAGTGTGTGGAAAATGAAAAAAAGAAATTCTACACTAACAAATATCTTTTGTCCTTTTATGATCAACACCAATAAGCTTAGAAACTTGAAAGACTTCTCTTTACAGCATCTACATGATTTAGGAGATCTTGAATAGTTGCTGAATTTATAGCTCCAAAAATAATCATTGTTAATAGATTGCATTAAGGTAAAAGCTTATTTCTTGTCGGCAATGAATATAAAACATTTTGACTTCCAATACGATTGAGTAGAAGTAAATGAGGTAGAAACCAAAAAAATAGGAAAGAATAACTTACGGAAATTCTTGAAAAGCAGATATAATTGTCCTGATTTCTCTCCTTCTTTTTCTTCAGGTCCTTTGCTTTATTTTTCTTCTCATCTACTCGGTTCTCTCATCCACATAACTAACCTGATGTTTCAAGAGAGAAACAAAAAAAAATAAGAGAATTCCATCCTTAAGTAACTTCTTATTTTTTCAAGAATCAACTCTGCTTTGTCTTGTGCCATCTGTTCAACCACCATTCTGTATCATTTTCTCCCGATTTTGAAAAGCCAGGATTGATATAACAAAGGGTGGTTTCTTTTGGAGTGAAACCTTTATCTTTCATCTCTTCAAGTAACTTCCTTACCTCACTCCGGCATGACAGTCTCAATGACCTTTCAAGCTCCGGCCTTTTTGATAGCTTGCACCATCCAACCAATAATATGTCATATGTTGAAGAATTTGGTATTACCCCTCTGACTTGCATCTCGTGCATTAGTTCCTGGGCCTGTCTCATTTTTCCCGCCTTAGCAAAGTCAAAGATGAGTACATTATAGGTGCTAGTGCGAGGAACAAAACCTTTTGTAATCATCTCACAGTAAAGTTTGATGGATTCCTTTTTATTTCCAATTTTTCCATGGCCAGAGACTAAAATGTCATATGTATTAGCATTAGGGACAAAACCCCTTCCCTTCATTTCATTGAACAAATCAACTGCTTCATTAATCAGTCCAACGGCTGACAGAGATGCTAACATAGTGTTGTATGTTGCAACATTAGGAGGAACTCCTTTAGCCAGCATCTGTGAATATGTTGCAAAAACCTTTTGGAATTGGTAACTTTTGCAATATCCACGTATGAAGGCATTATAAGTGGTAGTATCAGCTGAAAATCCTCTATCTCTCATGTTTTCTAGTTCTGACATTGCCTTTCTGGTCATCCCTAGCTTGCATAAAACAGCAATAAGAGTGTTGTGAACAGTATGATCAAGCTTAAGTCCGATGCCTACAAGCCGCTCATGCATTCTAAGGATTATATCTGCTCTTCTATGGCCTGAAGCAGCATCAAGAACAATTTTGTGAATAGCTGGTGAAGGACGAAAACCAATTGTCACCACATCTTTTAACAAATCCATTGCTTTTTCAATATCACCTACTTCACAAAGTCCCTTCACCAATATATTACAAGTGATTGAATTAGGCATTATCCCACTGCTCTTCATTTCAACCCAGACTTTGACAGCACTTTCCAGCTTCCCCTCTTTGCAGTAAGCATCAATTAAAGAATTGAAAGTTTGAACATCTGGAACTAGACCAAGTTTCCTAATTTCAGCATAAACAGACTGTACCTCATACTGACCAATTCCCAATAACCCGTTAAGCAGTACATTCCACGCTATTGTGTCAAAGCATATTTTTTTCTCTTTCATTTCTTCGACCAATTGAAGAGCATCTGACTCCTTCCCTTTTTTAAAGAGTCCGTCTATCAATGATGTGTAATTCACATGATCGGGTGACAAACCCTTAGATGTCATATCCATAAAAATGGCCTCAGCTTCATCCATTTTACCCAGTTTTTTCAAATTTTTCACAAATGTATCTAACAAGAATTCATTTTCCTCAACACCATTGGACTGCATTTCCTCATACAGAGCAAGAGCCATATCATGTTTCCCAGCCTTAAAGCAGCCATCAATCAGGGTATTATATGTGAAAACATTAGGGCTAACATTTATGCTTACCATTTTCCTCATTATTTCAATAGCTGCCTCAACCATTCCACTTTTGGCATAACCATTAATTACAGAAGAGAATGTGACAACATTTGGTAAAACACCTTTCTGTTCCATTTGTTGCAGTAAAATCTCTACACTCTTAAAGTCACCAGATTTGCAGAGCCCATCAACCAATGCAGTATAGGTAATATGATTTGGAGTTATGTTACACTCCAAGAGTGTCTGAAACATGTCTTTTGCCTCCCTGGATTTTCCAACTTTAAAAAGCCCATTTATCAAAGTGGTAAACAAGACAACATCGAAAGGCACTCCTCTAATCACTATTTGACTTTGGAAGTTAGCAGCAACTTTTTCAGCCTTATTTTTGTACAAGTGATGAATAAAGATAGAGTATGTCATGTGATTAGGATCCACCCCCCCTCTTCTCATCTCATCAAGAAGTAATTTGGCCTCATGAAACTGCCCATTTTTACAAAGACCATATATAAGGCAATTATAAGTAACAGTGTCATGGAAGAAGCCAAGCCTTGTCATTTCTTCATATGTAGCTAATGCTTTCTCAAACTGAAACCACTTAACATATTTACTAATTAATGTGGTGTATGTAATAGTATTTGGTTCTAAACCCAAGTCTCCTACTACCAGGCCCTTATTTTCACCATCATCATGGTCAAGTTTTTCTTTATTACCGACATAACTAACATCTATATTTTTAATAGAGTCCAATAGCTCATCCATGATGCAATTCGCAGCATCAAAATCTCCCATTATGCCAAAACCATTAATCAGAGTATTATATGTAACAATGTCAGGTGATAAACCTTCTCTTTTCATCCTCCCCATCATCTCAAATCCACCACTCATCTCAACAGCCTTACAATATCCATCAATCAGAGTGTTAAAACCGACAACGTCTTTACAAACGCCCCTACGTTTATCACTCAACATTTCCATCACCAATTCTGCATTATACAAAAGACCCTTATCACAAAACCCCTTAATTAATATATTACAAGTGATGGTATCAATGAAAACACCCTTCTTTAACATATCAGACAGCAATCCAAAACCCATTTCAACAAACTCAATTCTGCAGAACCCCCATATCAAAGTGTTATAAGTAACAGTGTCACTTTCGTTCTCTCTAAGTAATTCAAGCGCTTTTTCCAGTTTCCCAACTTTGCAAAGCGAATGCACTACTATATTGCGAGTAACCACATTAGAAGCCACTCCACAAGCAAGCATATCAGAATAAAGGATAATTACCTGATCAACCAATCCTGCAGAATTGAAATGATGCAAGAGACGGTTCCATGAAGGAATGTCAGGGACAAGATTGTAATTTCTCATTGAAGAGAACGTTTCCGTGGCTCTGGAAAGACGATGACAGCGAAGGAAGAGATGGATAAGTGTGCAGAAAAACGAGGTGTAGAGGCTTTTCTTCCGATGAGTTTGGATTGGTGTACCGGTGGGCGTTGCCGATGAAGAGAATGGGAGGCATATTCTGAGGTCCAATGAGATAGCAACGGAGAGCAGAGGGAGGCTCTTTGTCCTGCCTATCAACTGTTTGATGAAATGCCTCTGTGAGTTCATTGTCTCGCAATTGCCACCATTCCCGTGGAACTGTTATTTTCCGGCACAAGTAGTAGTAATAGCTCAATTTTGACACATATTTGACTGTATGTGGCCAAATCTATTTTAAACAGAGTTAAAATAACTAAAAATAAATTAAGAAGGATTATACAATATAAAAAATTACTTTTATTTTTTAACCTGTCATTTCAATTTAATTTTTTATTTTTATTTTAAAAATTATTTTTTAAAGTCAATTCAAACAAAATATAAACGTGCAACGTAAAAATTAGTTTGTTATACTTTTATAAGAGATGGTCTACTTGACCATCGATCAAATATGTTTTTATTATCTTATCAAGGTGCATTATTTCAACTTTCAAAATGTGACTCGACAATAAAAATACTCCTCAATTTAAAATAAATTGACTATATAGATTTTTACTATTTCATTTAAGTTTTAACTCATATCATCATGACATTCTATATGTAATTTAAGTTTCTAACAAAAACCAACAGATTTAATATAATCGATACTCATTCTTTACTTTTTCATCATTCAAATATAACTTCTCTTATAACAATCAAAATCTGATATTCCAAACATAATAGTATAAAAGTAAATCGAATGTAATATACCCCTGATATTACTTGTAAGTTATATTGAAGAACAACATTCATTTGTGTTTGTTATTTTTCACATTACAAATAACAGACACATGTAAATAACTTTTTCTGAACTTCTTTTCGAATATTCTTTTATTACACACGGGAAAATTAGCGCGAGTATTACAAAGACAGACAATCAAACCTTTACCAACAAAATGAAAGTCCAGCTAGTGAACTAACCGACATTGATCTAATTTCTAAGATTTAATTAGTGTTTTCTTTGTAGCATTTTTTATCCCGCACTCTAGTTTGAACAAATTTTTAGCAATGTTGCCATTAGCACCACGAGGAAAGAACCCGCCATGAGCATTTTCACTACCAGTGTTATACATAATCCTTAGAATCTCTTCAGGAGTTCGCCACTGAGAAAGAGAATAGTAATCAGCTGATAATATGTTTGTTGTCGTCCGATTCTCTGCACCAAGCTGCCATGGCACGAACAAGCCTTCGTCTTTAATACCACACATTGCCAAACGGTTTCTTAAATTTGAAATGTGGATTGTGAACTCTGCAACAGTGTGTCTGTAAGGGTATACTACTTTTCCAGCTCTCTCGTAAAGGTACATTCTGATCATCGCGTCTTGTCCTGATTCAATGCCTAATAGTCCTGCCAAAAGCTGCAGTAACAAACACAATTTGAATTTTTTCTAAATCTAATGAAAATTTAAGATTCAATTACTTACCCTTTTTGATTCATAGCCTTGAATGAGGGGATTTGTACCAACATAGCCAACTAAGGCAGCATATGGTAGTGCATAGCAAGATAACATGAAATTGAGACTATCTCTATAAGGATCAAATGGGGGTTGTAATTTGTAACCAAATGCTTCATCAAATAGATGTGCAAAGTGTCTAGAGCTTAGATCCATCAAAGGTCTTGGCAAACCACCTACTTTCGATCTAAGTGCCCTGCAATTATCCCAAAACAGAACAAATTAGTTATAGTTTGAGTCATGACTTGATACGTATATTGCCAGTGTATATAAGTTAAAATGGGATAAGACCGGACCTTAGATGACCAACTTCTTGCATGGCAAACTCACTAATGATGTTACATGTTAAAAAATCAAGATTTGCTTTGCGGACACCAATGGGAGGAGGCCCTCCCATGGCTAATTCTGGTGCTACAATATCAAGACCATAACCATGTACAGCCCACAAGAAGTATTCAGCTTCCAAAAACTCTAAATTCTCAAAGAATTGCAATAAGTCAATATCTTCTTTGGTTACTGGGAGTCCGACTTTCGGAGTCCCAGTTGGACAAACAAGATTTTCAGAAATGGAAATGCAGAACATCTTGCTTGACAACAAAATCATAAATATTGTTTTTAAAAGATGGGAAGGTGAAGTAATTGATATTATAGGCATCTTTAGTGTTTCTTTTTTTTAAAAAAAAAACTTCTTTAATTAAGTTGTAATGAAGATTAAAAGAGAGTTTATAGGGATATATACTATGTATTATGACATACTTTATACCTAATTTTAAGCAATGTTATTTGGATTTCTAACAATAAACACCTTATTAGTGACTAACTAAAACAATGTGAAGTTTATATGCCTTAGCTAAACTCTACCTGCCTTCAACCTAAAACAAAAAAAGAAGAAAGATAAATTAAGCCATGAAACTCAACAACTTAACAAGTGTGTTCAAGTTAAAAAAAACATTATCATTAATTACACTTGTTTTAAGAATTCTGCTTTTTTTGTACACGATCTTTTTATGATTAACATGATTAAATGAAAAACAAATGGTAAAAAATCTACCAAGTTAAGTGAATCTTTTGCTTGACAACCCTATAAAATCCCCATTACATCAACCTTCACATTTCATCTTAAGAGAGTTAATACTACAATTTGTTTACTACTATAGTAACCATGGCCAAGAAAAATTGCCTTGTTACATTTGTCATTTGCATTTTCCTACTTGTCAACTTAGCTTTTGCAAGTGAAATTTCTGATTCATCTTCAGTACATGATGAAACTAGTACTACTGAACAAGCTAAGGGACTAGATAGTTACTTTCCATGGATTCAATATACACGTCCCTGGCTATTTCCTCGTCCATGGCCATACGTTTATGGTGGTTACCATCCTCATCAATGGCCATTTGTTCTTCCTCAAATGCCTACTGGTTTCTTTCATCCTAGGTTTCCCTACTTGTGGGCTTATCGTTTTCCATGGTCATTTCTGTATCCATCATCAGCTCCGTCTCCACCTAAAGGAGACGAAGAAGCAGGGAAGAATTAAGAATATTCACTAATAATAAAAACAAGTGTTGGGATCAACACATATTTATTTCTAAGTTAATTTATGTTTTTAAGATCACATTATTAAGTTTTTACTGATTTTCAATGTTGTTTGATTTGGCTTGTTATGAAATAAAATCTGAATTTTCATTTTTGTATGAATTGTCCTCCATATATATCCTGTTTTAGCAAATGTAACTTGAATTTCTTTTCATGAAGACTTGATTAACAATGTAAACTTTGTATGCCCCAACTAGACTCCACCTCTTTCCCACCTATAATCATCATGATAAAGAAGAAGATTTACTAAAAACAAGAGTAAAAAATACTAATGATTATAAAAATAGAAGAAAGGAAATAGGCCGTACATCCATAGGATTTAGGCTCCGAGCCTAGGAGTTTATGTCTCGGCTCGCCTTGTGCTATCTTCTTATTTTTAGTTGTCATGATAACATTTTGCACAACACATCAAGGGTATAAAAGTCGAAAAAATAATTAATTCTCTCTTGATTTTATAAATTGACAAGTCTTTAGAAATAACTATATATTTAGAATACATGACAACTAAAAAGAAATTGAGGGAGTATATGTTATTTCATATATCACGAAGGGTAATGCTAAGGTTTTAAAAAAAAAATAGTTTTTGTAAACAAGATGCATGTATTTTTTTTTTGGTAACAATGTAAACATTACCATTGACCATCAACCAAAACACTTAAAGAGCACCTAATTACACAACAACGACCTTTCGTAGAAGGGCTATGTAAGTTAAGCCTCAAACAAACTAATTACAAGATAAAATGTTGTCAAATAGTTACATCTTTGGCCTTTCTAACTATGTCTAATCTAGTCTTGAAGCTTTGCTTTATCTAAGTAACTGTTGTACCTATAGTCATCTTTGCTCCTCTATACAATTTCCAGTTCCTAGCCTGCCACACATGATACACTACTGAGGCCCAAAGTGCTGCGGTTATCTCCTTTTTCAGTTGTTTCCAATTCTCTCTCTTAATTTTCTCAAGCACTTGTTTCACATCTCCTGTTGGAATCAGCATCCCGGACCATTGCGACATCTCTGTAATGATTCCTCTAGTCCATACACAATTAGAAAACAGATGCTTTTGTGTCTCTACAATTTGAGCATCACATAAACTACATGATGTGTTATCCATTGATATAGTCATCCTTCGTAGTCTGTCTTTAGTCAGCAATCTGCCCTGCACAGCTAACCAAATTATGAATCGATGCCTTGGTTGAGAAATTTTGTTCCAGATGAATTCAGCAATTCTCATCTTCCTTGGACCCCTAACAATGAGTTGTAGCTTGCTCCCGTTGAATATTTCCCATTTGTTGTTAGGACACACACCTTGTTCATACCACTTCACCATGTCTTTGTTTATGGCATTCAGCTTTCTCCAATACCAACTACTATCTTGTGGAGGTTTATGCTCCCAAATGTCTTGGTTCCCTTTCATATACACCCCATGTATCCATCGGACCCATAATACATCTTTTTTCATTATTAACTGCCACACAAATATCATGTTGATCATCCTTCACTTGTGTTACTGCCTGCTGGAGTCCTTTATGTTTTATAACAGCAAAGAAGTACCTGGTACAATCATCTCCCAATTTCAGCCATGTTACCTTGCTCTGTTGTTGGAGGAACGACTCTGCCATATACGAAGTAGGCCTATACTTTTCATATTTGACCTTTTCCTCCTCCTGTAATGTTGTATTCAATGGGTCAGTCTGAAGTTTCTCCTGAACAACTTTCAGTGCGTCTTTATCTTCACTTGCTTCAGTAACTATGTTCCTGAAATACTGAGTATTCAATTTCTTTAGACAAGGTTTCAGTAACTTCGTTTTTCTCACTACTTTCCACATCTTGCACCCCTCTACATGAGTTTTCCAAATACCTTGGACTTTATCTTTGAACAATGGATGATGAGACCAAACATTACAGTATTGAAAAGCTCTCCTCATTTTACTAGTCTGATTCTGCAGATAAACCTTTGCAGGGCAATGGTCACTTATACCTTCAGGTAGATACGATGCTCCACATGACGGCATAGTGTACAACCAAGCTGAGTTAATAAACATCCAGTCTATTCTTGAATATATTCTGCTTCCTTTACTTCTATCATTCCATGTATACTTTTGACCTTGATGTGGTAACTCCATCAACCCACTTACTTCAATGCAGTCCTGAAAATCAGCAACTTCAGGCCTTGTAACAGGATTACCTCCCAATCGATCATCAGAATGTAGTACAGCGTTAGAATCACCAATCAATAACCATGGCTCGACACATGTAGAGCTTTGGTTTATTATTTCTCCCCACAAGTCTCTTCTTTCCTCTCTAGAATTATATGCATATACAACTGACACCCTAAATGCCAGTTGCATAGGAATGTAGCAGACCTTACACGTTAGCATTTGGGCTGATCCCTCCATGAAATCTACTTTATAGTAATCTGGTCTCCAGACCAGCAGTATTCTTCCATTATAATGTGATTCTAAGTTAGTTAGGTATTGCCAGCCTCCAAACATTTTATTCACCACCTTATCCATGTTTTCGCTTTTCACCTTCGTTTCTACTAGACCTACCAGTCCTGCCTTTTCTTTATTGCAGAGAAGTAACACCTCCTTGTGCTTATTCGGGGCATTAAGCCCTCTTACCTTCCAATATAACATATTAACCATTACCTTGTGGGTACATGGTATGCCCACCCACAATCTGCCCAGTTTTTGGAGCTAATTCATTCACCTCAGTTGATCTGCTCATAATTTGAAAAGAATTATTACTCGCAACTCGTAATTGGTGTTGCTTGTGACTCTTTCCTATCTTAAATGATGTTACCCAACCAGTAGAAGATGATCCGCCTGTCTCCACCTGTTGAAGTCCTTCATTTAGCATTATCTTTATTGGTTCCTTACTTTTTGGATCAGCTTGTTTTCCTTCCTGTACGCTTTTTCCTTCTCAATTTCCTTAGCTTTTTTCACAGCTAACTGTGTCAGTTTCTCTGTCTCTGTATTTTGGGCTCTTTGTTGTATTAGATTCTGATCCAATCTCAATTTCTTCCTGTACTTCAAGTTGTTGTGCCTTTTTCCCCCTGATGACCTTGTGTTGTTGCTTCCTGCGCCATTAATGCCTTCTGCGATGGAGCACGAGCTCTCTTCCCCATGGTCAGCGTACGTTAATAACCTACGCCGAGAGAGAAGGGACCATCGCAAAATTTGATTCAGAATGTTATGCTTTTGGTTGAAGATCAACAATCACATGAAAACACTATTTCTTAGTTTTTTCATTTTTGAAATTCAAAAGTGCGACCAGGACGAGCTGTGAAGGATAAACACCAAGTATTTTGGTTTCTGTTAAAATTTAAATTAAGGAGATAACTTTCGACCAAACTCTATTATATTATATACTACATTTTGAGAAGGTGCCTAGCACCTTTGTTCCTTATTATTATTATTAATTTTTTATAAACTAAAAAGTTAAGTAATTGAAAAAATGCTTAAATTAACAATTGTTGTTTAACCATTTATTTTTTATTAACAAATCTAATATGAAGAACATTAAATAGATAACATATCTAGTTACTTTTTTATTATCCTTCTCTCATTCTCTTTTCTTCTCATTTTCAATAGTGTAATTTTCTTCCTATGATAATATCAATCTTAGTAATTGGTTCTTAAAAAGCATATTAAAATTTTAATTCTCAAAGTGTTTTTACATAAATAGTGGAGAATGACTCTTCACATTGAGCTTTTAATTTTAAAAAATTATGTGTATGAGAAATAATTGACATTCAATAATTAGGCAGAAGAATATCACATTATCATACATAAAATAATATCTCTGAGTCAAAAGTAGATATTCTAGTTTGGAAAATAATTACTACTAATTATTTATGGGTTCAGCTCCAATCAATAAACTATAGATGGGAGTTTGACAATTTTCCAGCTATAGTTAAAATTTTACATCAACAATAAATAGTTTATTATGACAGTAGATAGACGTTTGATGCATAAAATTTATAAATGCTAAAAGATTTCGTCAATGTAATACATATGCAAACTTATGATAAAAGCACTTGGTATATTACGAAACACACTTGAAGCCATTACCGTGATTAATATGTCAATTATTTTTATCATTATATCACATATACGTCTTCTTTTTAACCTTAAAAAGTACTGTACACATGATTTATGAAGAGAAAAGAATAATACTCCTTTTTTCATAACATTACTCTTTGAATAATTAATATAAATTGAGAAATATAAACTTTTCTAAATGACTTATTCTAGATATATGATCAATTCGAGGAATGAATGTTCCAACAAACATATAATAGACTTATAAGATCAATAAATTATACATATAAACGGAAAAGTTTAAATAAAAATACAACCTCAAAATCACATATATACTATATAGAGTATGATCCATTCTTTATCTCCAATTAGGTGGGCCATTTTATTTTAGTTCATATATATATATGATTTCTCATTTAGTCATTATTCTCACTACTCATAAATAATAATTTCAAATTATATATATATATATATACAAAAGTAGAACACTCTATCGAGAGCCAAATAAGCATGTCAAATGAACTGATTAATCTTTCATAAATATGAATTTCATTAGTAATTAAGATACATAGTAGAACATGAATTATATATTACTATTTTCTTCATGTAGGATACAAAATATTCTAACAAAAATAATAAAATCATAAGAAAGAACATCAACATATATAAAAAGAAAATATATAATACTTAGGACGGATAAAAAGGAGCCAATAAAAACAAAAAATAATTACTGCACATACAAAATGATTTGCAAAGTTCATTTTTGCATGATAATCTCTCATCCTCTTTTTGTCCTTTACATGAAGATCATGCTAGGTAATTTATAGAAGTAACTATGATAACCTTTGAGAAGATAATTAATTTGCATTAAATTAGTTCAATAGTTTTAGTCCATATCAAATTTGTTTAATAGAAAAACTTTTCAAATACTCCTGATTTTCATAATAGAGTAATTAATTATTAATGTGAACTTGATTCATGCACCAATCTAAATGAGTTATTTATTAAATTTTTAATTATAGTTTATAATATTTATTTAATTATTTTAATATAAGGGTAAAATGGTAATTCAACTTTGAGCTTTAAATCTTCCCACTTATTGATGACCTTTACACTTTCTTAGGTTAATTCCTAATTAAATTATCTAATTAATAATATCTATTCTCTATAATTTATATGTATAAAATAATAAATAAATAATCTCTCTCTATATATATCCATTCATTTTTTTTTTGAGATTTTAAATGTTTAAATAATTTAGTTAATATTTTATTCTCTATCTATAATTACTATGCTTAAAATAAATTTTGAATTTAACTTAACCTCAAAAATTAGCTCATGACGAGGAGAGGATACTCGAGTCTATCTCATCCCACAAATGTGAGACTCAGCACCATAAAATTGAAAGTAGATTTTTTGAGTTGCTAGGAAGTTGGAAGCTTCAGCCATAGTATGAAGTGTTTTTGCGTTTAAATGTGTAAGAAAAACTATGTAGTAGTATTTTCATTAATAAATAGTAAAGTATACATAGGTGAGAGTTTATATTTTGATACAAAAGTTTTTGGCGTATAGTCGTAAAAGAAAAGAAGGTAAATACTTATCGGTATCTATAAACTAATTCATTTATTATATATTATCAAGTGATTTAACATGATAAAAAAAATACATTATTAATGAATTATAGTGAAATAATAGAGTGTATTAAAAGGCAAAGGCACAGGGCGAGGCGTTTTATACGGTATAGAGCGATGCATAAATCTCGAGAAATGATAAGTCTCATGGATTTACGGAGCGTAGTCTCATGTGTGTTCAGTAGTTTTATTACTAAAAAATAAACAAAAGTAAACCTTTTCATGATTCATGATTTTTATTTTGAGATAAGTATTGATAATAAATAATATAGAAAAAAGTAGAATAATTAGTAAATCATTACACCAATAATAAAAATATGATTTAAAGCAAAAAAAAATTTTAAAAATAAATTAAAAATACCTGGATATACGTTTTTACACCCATGACTTACGCCTTAAATTTTAATACTTACACCTTATAAATCTATGTCGTTAATTTATGTCTCAGAATATTTTTTATATGCTCGCTTCAGGACTCACGCAAAATTGTTTCTCGAAACATAGTGTACTAATTTGACACTGAACCACTATTATTGAACTTAGAGCCCAGTCCACTTTCTGCACCATCATGGAAAATCAGGCCCAATGCCAGCCATAAGTTCTTGGCCCATACAAGTCTATTTATTGGGCCTAATGCCAGCCATGAGTTCTTCGACCGTACAAGTCTTCTTTTTTTTTTGTTATGTTTGATATCTATTGAAAAAATATTATCTTAAAATTATTTTTATTGTAAAATTAAGGAGGTAGCAGGAGTTACGGTTAATTATAGCTGAATTTGTGGACATTTACATAGATATATTTACAATATTGTGTATAATTTCAAATAACATTATCGAAGATAGAATGTGGTGTGGTGAAAATAGAAATGAACATGAGATGTGTTAGAAAATACAGTTAATATGAAATGATGCTTGAGAAATTTTTCTCTACTTCTACTATAGAAGTCGTATTTCTCTACTTTAAGAAACTTAAAAAATATTCTCCAAAAATTTTGACTAAACTAAACCTGAGAAAGTTGAAATCTTTTCTATACCAAACACATCTTTTTTTCTAAACGAGCGAAACTCCAATCACCTTCAAGTCCAAATCAAATTGTTTCAAATACTATTTCATTTCATTAAAAGAAGTCATTAATTAACTTTATCGGGATCAGCTTTTCTATTTTTTGTATTGGTGGAATGGTTAGAGAGGTTTTTGTACTTGGTTCCATTTGTCAGTTGAACTCTTATACTCACTATTTCATCAACTGAATCCTTAAACTTACTAAAACATAATATCTTAAACACATCTAACCATTAACTTAGCTTATGTAGCAATAATATTACTGAATACCTTATGCTTGCATACGTGACGCTACCATAAATTAGATTTCCTTTTCAATTTTATTTATTTACAAAACTAGTCTTTCCATCTCATGAAAAGTTCTCGCCCCTCCCTCGCCCACACCTTTTTTTCTTCCTTCAGCCCCCCACCCTCTACTTCTTCCTACAGCCCCGCACCACACCACCCTACACCACCCCCTTCTTCTTCTTCACTCACGCCCCCACCCCTCAACCCACCCAACCAAATCTCTTTATCCCAAACTATTTTAGTTTCTTTAATTTTTGTAATTCAAATTCTTCTTTATAAATCTTAGTCGATTTATACACTTTTAAAATTTAGGTTTTCGGATATTATTTTTGAAATTGAAATTTAGGTAATATTTAATTTTTTATGTGGCATTCAAAATGACATGAAATTTCATAAAATGATGTAGAATTTTATGAATAAGCGATTGTGCTACACTCACACCTATAATAAGAAAGGGGCTTACGGTATTGCATTATATATCCATTTTTTTTTAAAAATACAATAAATCAAACATTCGCAAAATCAAGCCATATGTCTTAGACGATAATCCAATAATTATTAACTTATGTATTACAATTCACAATTTATACCTTATAATAGGAACTTTGTCCATGAACCTACTATAATATGGTCGAATCCTCTGCAAACTATGTATTATATGTTTACCGAAAATCCAACACAAATATAATAACATTTTATTGAAAAATTCGAGCAACATAGCTGTGATCTATATCGCAAGATTTCTTAATTTCATTAGAAAGGTGAGAGCTTTTTCCTATTGTAGAAGTTTCCTGACGGGCCTCCTTGAGGTAAAAGAGCAAGCCAAACAGGACTTTGAGCACCCTCTTCAACAGTCAATATGCCACAATTGTAACATAAATCAGTTTTTACATAACCTGGACAAACACAATTTATGAGAAAATTTGGGTATTTTTTAGCCAATATTCTTGTGTAACCATTTAATGCTGCTTTTGATAGTGTATAAGCAGATATTGTTAGAGGCCAATTTTTGCTTTCTAACAAATCCTCTTTGAAATCTTTGAGAAAAACATTCAAAACCTCATCCACATTGTCTTCTGTTAGATTGTCACAATCATTCAAGACTCCTATAGCCCATTCATTGCGTACATGCTAAAACAAAACATCGTGTCAGTTACTAGACTAAAAATAGATATTCATAATATAAGGATTAGATAAAATATTTACGTACTTGGAGCTTTCCAGTAGAGGAGGAAACATTGACAATACGTGGTGAATCAGATAATTGAAGTAGAGGTAGTAATTCTTGTATCATCCATTTTGCACCATAGTAATTTGTTTTTATGCATTCTTCACCTATATCAATAGTTTGAGTGGCTACTTTCATCTTCTCAATGAATAAATTTTGCTACAACATGACCAATACAACATTATTTCATTTCAAATGTACTCAAAAAAATTTACACAACCATAAAATTGATTTTTTTTTTGAAGAAAGTGAAAGCTTGAAAAATTGATAATATAAACGAACGAAAGAATGGACGCGATGACAAGAGGGCGCGAGTTTGAGTTATATGTAAGAGAATAAAAAATTAGGGGCTCGTAGGGCGAAAAAAAAAAAGAGAAATCCATGTGATATATAGTGACTTACTTGTGGGTTTATAATGAAATCTTTATTAAAAAGCACTCCACGAATTGCCGCATTATTCACCTGTTTATATGTTATTTAGAAATTAGTAATGATTTGTTATATTTGCATCACGTAGTACGGTTGAGCAAATTCATGAATCTATTAAGCAAAACACAAAGTTATAAAGAAAATTGAGATTAATTTTGATTAATGCATAAAGCTTGATTAAAGAAACCTTTTTCGGTTTTTTTCATATTCGAGTGGTCAAATAATTTTAAAAACATTTTCTATGCAGGAAAAAAAGAAAAAAGAAGGCGTCACTATTATTGAATAATTAAGAAAATAATTGTCAAGAAACACAAGTGGTTGTTAATTGAGACAAATGACAGCCATAAGTTCATAGGACCACCGCACAAGTCTTAGTGGCAATGTTTTATATTTTTTGTTCGGTATCTAGCAAAAAAAGAATATTACATCAGAAGTATTTGCATATAATTTTAAGATAAATATTATGGGAGATGAGTATGATGCGATGAAAAGGAGAGGACTTGAGGTGTGTTTGAATGTTGAAATGACACCTGTACCTCCGGTAGGGGAGTTTTACGGATTCTTTTAAGAAAATGTTTTTCAAAAATTTTGACATGAATTTTTCGTTTTGTGCCAAAATCAAATTGTTTCAAATGAATACAGTTCAATAGGCGGTGCTGCTGAGAGAAAGTATCAGCTTTTATTCAGGGATAACAAATACATCTCCTATTCCTCAATTTAAAGGTTACATATGCATTCATGAGATAAACAAGAATGGCTTACAACAAAAAAATGAAATATCTCTTTCGTGGTTCAGCAACATTTGTCCTTGTAATTGTACACCTAATACAGTCAAGTTTGTGAAATTTTTTGACCTTTACAGGCAATTTGGAGCACCAGAACATACTCCACTTCTCGTGGACCTGTGATCTCAACCCAGGAAGTGCTTCACTATTCGTGAACAAGACAGGATACCACATATTTTCTCGATATACATTTTCTTATTTAACTTGTTTGGAAATTTAAGATGTTCGAAAATTGATTTATATCGCCGCGGGTCAAAATTGGGTGTCAACACAAATACAATGAGAACTTATCACACGGTGTAATATAACACCAAAAGATTGAAGAGAAGACACCATATCAGAATTAAAATTTATGCATTAGGATTGTAACATATATAGCCAAAAAGAACATACACAATGAAATTAATTTTATACTATGACAGAAAATCAAAGAAATATAAAAAATATTATGAACAACATATATCAAAATTGTAGTCCACCTTACTTTTTTTTCTATTAATATACCGACATATTATTTAAATATAACAAAAAATCATTGAATATAGAAGAAAGAATAATATAATTAACAAAACTAAAACGGAAGGTGACAAGGAAAAATTGTTAGCTAAATTGTGACTTACTCTTTCAATAATACATTCATCGAAATGTCAAAATAGCACTTCCAAATGTATTAGAACCATATTGTACCATCATATAGTTTCATGCAATAGAGAAGACCAAAAAATTTTCGAAAAAAGAGTTGGAATATGAATTCTTATACTTTTGAATGCTCTTGATTTGTGTTGTTATTTTCTTTCTCCATGTCTTAAATATCTCTACATTTTAATAG